TCTGTCCCCAGGCCTTCATGAACCTGTCCCTCTACCACCTCTGCCCCGACCTCCCTTTGGTGGCCATCATTGGCCGCTAGAGCTCTTCGATCGGCTGTGTTGGTTGAGTTTGCTGGCTGAACCATTTTTGTTCGCGCTTTTAAATCGGGATGACTTAGATCGTTTTTCCCACAGACGATGCCAAATGTTTATGCAAAGGTCTGCACAACGACACTTTACGAACCTAGCTCTAACCCGATCTCCGATTCGACCTGAACACAAGAGTGGACCTGCACAAGAGAGTAAACACTCCGACGCTCAAGTCAGTGTAGGTCGGACTCCGTATTTAGTTCGAGGTGAGATTCGATACCTGAGCGTGAAATGAGGCCCTCTATTTATAGGTGGGGGATCCGACAGTACACATGACCGACGGTTACATGTTTTTTCTCATGTCGGACCTGTCGGGTTTCGAGTAGATCGAACCCCAATCAGATCGAACCTCGGCATGTATACTTAGCCTGTTCCCAATGGGTGAACCCGACCTCTTCGGCAGGTTCGAGGTGGACCTGGGACACTTAATCCTTGAACACCAGTAAGCGTCCTCCACATTCCGAGGTATTTTTACCCCCAAACAGCAGGAGTGTTGAATAACACATTAATTAAACAACACGTCGCGTTTTACAGGCGGTCGGATGACTGTTAAGCCATTGTCGGGAGTCTGTTGTTGGAGATCATCTCTATAAATAGAATTCAATTTTATTATTTATTAGGTGTGTATTTTTATTTTTTATTTTTTATTTTTGCAAGAATTCAATACTTTCTCTTATCCTCGTTTGCTAGCAAGAATGTTCAAGAAATGATTTTAAATTTCGTGATTTAAAGTCAGAGATATGATTGAAAATTCTTTATCTTGTTTGGAACAAAAATAATTTGAAATGAATATAATTAAATTTAATTGTTTGGATGTTCGTTGGATGATTGAGTTTGATTTTTTGGTTTACATAAATTAACTAGTTCAACTAAACCTAAATTTTTTTATTCAAATATGATTTTTACTACAACAAATTGTCGTTGCCTTTGTCGACGTATACTTTTCACTTTTTGAAATTCTCACATTTTCTGTAACACCTACGTTTTCTAGCTCATTTATTTTAAGGCTTATTTGTGCCATTGGATTTTTCCTCTAAACCGATATTTAATTTCATTAATTTTCTAATATCGAAGTTCTAATTTTGGGTTTTAAATTTAGTTAATCTTTTACATAAATTTTCCAAATTATTTTTAAAGAGCGTTCTTACTGGGAAATGATAATAGAACGTTGTTCTTTTTTTTATAAGACCTCATTACTTTGTGTTGCTATTTTAGTTTAATTGGACCAATTTCTTTTTGGTAAAATAAATAAAACAAAAAGAGAAAGGGAAAGAAAATAAAAAGGAAAAAAAAATGAAGGAAACCCTAGCCCCAATCTCTTTCCCCTTCCTTTCACGTGTAGTCCCATTCTTAAGAAGCTTCTCTTCCTCCATAGCAGTCTCATTCTTCTTCTTCTTCCTTCATAGTAGCTCCATTCTTCTTCATCATCGGCGGCGACTCCACGACAGTATTTCCCAGCGGACGACGATGCGAACGAACCCCATGGCGGCGTGACCCTCGGGCTGTAGCGTTTTCGATGGTGGTGCGACAACAACAAACGCTCAGATCTGGCGTTCTTCCTTCGATGGCACAGAAGTGCGTGCGGCTCCTTTTGGGAGTCGTTTAGTGGCAGTGCAGTACTGTGGATTGGAAGGAAGTTATTTCTGTTCTAGGTCATGAATTGTGATCTTTTACTCAGTTTTCTGTTCATTTTTTGTCCGATTTTGCTTGTAAATTACTGTTTGCTTTGAAAAAAAGTTCCTCGGAGGTTCGTGAAAATGCCGAGTTTTAATTGATTATTTTGTTGCTTTGATTTTACTTTTTAAGTTGTTTTCTGGTTCAGTGTGAGAGTTTAGATCGTTGAACGGCGACGAAAAGTTTTGGTCGGAATCGGCGGTGGATTTTTATGTTTCGTTTTGTTAGTAATATCGTGCATGATCTTATAGTCAAGATTTAAGAGTAACTTCAATTTTTTTTTTTGTATTTTTTTTTCTCCCTTGTTCGTGTTGTTCATTGTGGAGCGAAGGAGATTTTTTTGTATGTTATTGTTCAGTTTTCAAAAGTGAGAAAGAAAAAACTGTTTGTTTAATAATTATTATTAATTTTTAATTCTTACTGATTAATCTTCTTGTTCAAAGTAGGAATGAGCATCTAAACCCTGCAAAAAGGGGGAAAAAATTCAAAGATTCGAAGTTCAAAGTGATGGGAGAGAGAGAAGCCATAAGTGCATGCGGCTCCTTTAACAGCGGCAAGGAGCATTCGGTGGTAGGGTTGTTGCTTATTTGGTTAATCGATGGTAGGGTTGTTGCACTCTTATTAGATGTTGATCTGGAAAATTTATTTTTAGGCTGTGTTGCTTACTTTTACGATTTTTATTAATTGAAGAGATAAACAACATATTGTTGTTTATGGCAGACTGTCTGGGTAAATAATTTTTCTCCCCTTTCTACTATGAAATGTGCTACTTTGTAGTTCTGCCAAACCTGAGAAAATTATATTCCATGTCTCTTCAGTTGTGCCTTTTTTTTTTTTTAGTCACGTGATTGGTTGGATGTGTGGTAGAGAAGAGATTTCTATAAAGAATCAATGATGGTTACTAATTAGATTCGGCATCTAAGTTCAATTATTAAGCTTAATTAGTTTTCACCTAAAAGTTTAAGTTCAGGGATAAGTGGTCTGGAGGATCAGTTTAATGTCAATATTAAAGAAATAGGCTTTCATCAGTTTGAAAGTTACAATTACCATCTTTTTTGGAGGATTGCTCTCTCTAATAAAGTAGCTGTTAATCATGGTCATTGGAGGTATTATGCAGTATCAAAACTTCCCGGTGATCTTATCTTGTATTATGGACTCTCTATCTAGAAAACCACTTCAATGATTGGATTTTCATATAAGCTTTCAACATATTGTCATCCGAGTTAAGCAAATCAGATAAAGCCATGAGGATTGTTATCAGAACGAAATTCTATCTCTTTCTCCTCTTAGGTTAGGATTGTGAAAGATGGTAAAAATCTAATACAAATTTTTTATTTTATAATTGTAGAGAATGTTTAATTAGTTCTTGTGTCTTATCCAAAAAAGTTTAATTAGTTCTTGTGGTAGTTTTTCTAAATTGCGTTGTTTTGAAAGATTTGTGGTAGATTACTCACTTACATGGTTAGTCATGAACTTTTTGTCTTGAAGAGGTAAATAATAACATTTTGTATTTAAGTCTCTAGATTTAGGTTGCGTAGCTTAAGCTTTTAGGATTTTTAGCAATTAAAGTTATTCTGGAGTTTTTGATGACGACTAAAATTTCTTGTTTCGTTGTAGGTGATCACTTTCTGAAGATGATGATGATGAGGTTATTGAATAAAAAATTAAAGCTTTCTTGGATGAAAATGTATGGATTTTCAATTTGAGTCTTTGGATAAGTGACTATTTTGTCTTTCTAATCAACATTTTGTCTGCCCTTTTATTAAATGCACTTGTCGACTCTTACTTGTTCGGTTTGTTTTGCAATAATTTAGGCTTTTGAATTGAAGAAAATGCAGACAGACATACCTATATTTGCAATGCCTTAGGCTTGATCATCAGCTTTTCCAACTATATGGCCATGATGAAAAATATCATTAATACATTTTTTGGTACATTTTTATGTTATCCATTATATTTTAATGGATTTATAGTAACCATTATGTTTTTAAATTATGTATGATCATAAAATTATTTACACTGTTTGTTAGTGTTGTGTATATCCTTACGAATGAATTATCTTTCAACTGTGCTGTTTCTTTTCTAATTTTTGTCCCCCACTTCGATTCAGACGTTGAGTATATCCTTTACTGCATTGGGTCTTTGATGTGGCTTAGGAAGGATAAGCCGAATACTCTAATATCCATAATTTACATCACAAGGTATACAACCTCAAAATTAGAGAAATGGTCACTTATCATATTTACCTGTTTTTAACTATTTGAGCATTAAAATGCATTTAAAGTAAGTTATTCTAGTTAATTCAAAACTTATGATATAGTTACTTATTTAGATGAGCCTTACATCAAGTTTCAAATATATGTTGCGTTATATTTCTGAATTGATTTGTCATTTTGAAATAAAATGAAATGGCTTCAAATATGGAATTCCTGTAGGGCAAAATATAATTTTTTTAATGTTGATCAATTAGGAAGGATGTTTATTTGCTGATTTTGATAATGAAATCCTTCAGTCAATTGTAAAGGACTTTTCTAGTGACAAAACATATAGCAAACTAATTTCTATGCATATGCTGATTCTAGCCGCACAACATTTTTTTGTTATTCTTTTTGTTACATTTACTTCGTCATCGTTGCTTTTGATAGCAGTATAGCAAATATTCTCATTTTTTGTGTTTGTCAATCATCAGTTACCGTTGTAAGAAGAATATGACATTGATGTTTGTTTGACACTAGGGGTGATGTTTTTGCCTAATGTATTCCTATTGGTACTACTTTCTCTTCCATTAATACATATTTGTGTGGCTATCCTGTAGCAAAGATAGCCCATTAAGACTTAATGTTTATATGTGTCCTGCATATAATATAAAGTCTAGTTAGATAATTGTGTGGTTTAAAGTTTAGGTGGATAATTATGTTGCTATTCTGCAGTAAAGATAGTCAATTAAGACTTAGTGTTTATATTTGTGTCATTACGTAATGCATGTTGGAGTTAGAAAGAAAATGTGGGAGTTAATATTAATATATTTTTAATTGTTCGTTTTATTTTGTTGAAGGAGTAGCTTGCGGGAGCAACATTTTGAGAAAGGATAATGTATAGGGAAGAGTTTCGACGTATTTTCGACATGTACGAGGTTGATGTAATGTGAATATAGTTCGTTGGACATTCTCTTATTGTATTCATAGACTTATAGTATAACATTTGTATAAAATATCCTAATGTACAAATTTGATCCGACTTTGATCTTATTATATGCAACTTTGTTACATTTTATAATTTATAGATATAGATAATTTTTTTTGAAACGTGTACAGTGTTATTAAATGTATTTCATGGCTGTTATGAAGTTATCATATATAAACTTTTATTGATATTACAAACTTTTATTAAACACAAATTGTGACAAAAAAAAAAATTGTCACAATTAATCAATTGTCATATATAAAATTTTTGTGATAGTTAAAATTGTCAATATTGACCGTTAAAAATATCACTATAAAAGTTTTCGTGACAATTATAAATAGTCATTGGTACGTTTGTCTTGACGTTTATCAGCAGTCGTTAAAAAATATTTTATGTCAATTTTGAACTGTCGTTAAAAAACATTTCATGACAATTATAAACTGTCATAAAAAAATATTTCGTGACATTTATAAATTGTCGTCATTAAGTTTTTATTGACAGAAGAATAAAATTTTTCATTGTTTTAGTTACAGTTATAAACTGTAATTAAATGAGTTTTTGTGACATTTATTAATTGTGATGGAAGATCTATTCGTGACAAAGTATAATTGTAGTTGTAAATGCATTGATGACAGTTTTTCAAATTTGTCATCTTCTTGTCTTTCTTGATGCCTTAATAGATGAAAAAAAAAAAAAACTGTGATGAATTATGTTAATGACAGTTTTTAATTGTGAATGAAACTCAGATTTCTACCAGAGAATTTTCCATTTAACTAATTAACTATCTCTTACTCTGTAGATCTCTTTAACTACCTTCTTGAAAGAAAAAACTTTCATGTCTCTGACCATCACCTCATATTAGGACTTGTTTGGTAACGTTCCTGTTTCTTGTCCTCGTTTGTTCAATTTAAAGAAAAATGAATTGCATGGTCCAACATCCATGAATTCAAGTATGATAAAACAATATTTTTATTTATGTTTTGGAAGAAATGAGAACAAGAAAGAAGAAACCTGTTTTGATTATTTCCAAAAAATTTTATACAATTTTGAGAATGTTCCCAAGAAAAGATAAACAAAAAACATAGTTGGTTGCAAAATACTAAGATTTCTTAAGAAAAATGGAAATGAAAAACAATAAACGAAAACGTTACCAAACGGGCCCCTAGTGTCTTGCTTTTTTAATGATGGGATGTGAATCCCGAAGTGGAAGCGGATCTTTGTTCATCAATTTTGAGAAACAAAATCAAAGGTTCAAAGATGAAATACTGGTGAAAAAAGTTTACCTTTGAAGAACTTTTCTTCAATGGATTAACAAACAAACACCACCAATAGACCTTCCGTGCTATCCTCTGGGTATCGGGAACACGCTTGTGGGAGCGTTCGATATGGATCTATAGGGAATGGAGGAGAGAGTGCTTAAGAGAGATGCTGGGAGTTCTTTTTGAGATTCTTTTTGCAGAACTTTTCTGCAATAAACCAAAACAAAAAAACAATGACGTGGGGAGTTAGCCCACGTCACTTAACTCCCCACTCCCCTTGCATTTTTGCAGAGTAATATATTAATTAATATTATTTATTAATAATGTTAATTAATATATATAATTAATATATAATTAATTAATCATATTAATTAATAAATATTTATTAATTATTAATCTAATTAACAATTAATATATATATATATATATATAAATATATATATATATAAATCAAATAAATAATTATTACAAAAATAGAATCATATTCTATAGTATTTCTTTCATATAACCTATAGTTGTAATGTACATCTTATGCACATTATTTTTAACCTATAGTTTCAATATGAATCATATTCATATTAATTTTATTTGAATCTCATTCAAATAATTTCTCTCATAATATATAGTTTCAATTAGAATTAACTATATATTATAATGTATCACTATACATATAATCCCTGGAGCAATTTGAACATTTCAAAATTTTCCAAAAACTTGATTCTCGTTTTACCTGTTATGAGCTAACAAGGGGACCTAATAGACCTACAGATCAGAAGCTCCAACGATATAAGATTAATTGGTTAAACTCATTGACCGAGTTAATCAACATTCGTTAACTATGAGTCACTCCACTAAAGACCCATAGCTGCACTCTTCTCACTGCAGAATATTTTCGTGTTCACGGATATACAACCATTAATGGCAAGTCAATCCTTCACTAGTACTCGTAACTCAAGTTGGATCAAATTATCGTTTGACCCCTAAGTTACATCTTACTCCTTAAATACCACTGCTCCTCTAATGAACAACCTGGTTATGGTCCGACCAATAACCGGAAGTCCCTCTCGGGCCAATGAAAGGGTGGGGCCCCTTATTCAAGTCTCGGAGTCAGCATTTAAGAGAACACTCATCTACTCCCCTAAGGTCGGGGAGGAGTGAATTCCATCTTGTGAAGTTATGTTCCCAACTCCCCGCTCGATCTTGTCCCTAAAATGGTAGGAATGTTGAGTCGGCGACTCGGGCCACTCTCAACCATACAGATCAAAGGACGAGCCCTCACGGGTAGGAGTTCATAACTCACTCAGGATTGAGAATGAGTTGCCTGGTCATCCAAAGAAATAACAATCTGTTAGTTAACGGTGTTACATTTAAAGATTGGCTATTTCGCGTCCGGTCTTATACAAACTCATTGTATAGGATACCCCCACTCGCATGTCTCCACATGAACGACTTGGATCGAGTCGTCTGTAACATTTACAAAGTGGATCGTATCCATAGTGTTGCCAGGATAAGGTACCCAACCTTATCCATATACTATAGACCCTTTAGGTTATTCATGGGACATTATCCACCCGTATATCAGGGGTATATCAAATATATACCTAGTATATCAAATATATATCTAGTATATATACTGTCCTGGTTATATGATAATAACTTTGGATGTTTAGTTTATTGGATTTAGACAATGCAATGCTATGAATTCAACAACAAATTTATTGAATAATAGTGAATATACAATTGTTTCTACATAAATACAAACTACGAGTTTAGGGCAACACACCCAACAGTTAAAAATTAGTGCAAATTTGTGTTTAATTATCACGTTAGTGCTTGAGAGTTCTTAGGAGTTAATGTATTAGTGGGTAGTTAATTTCATAGAAGTAGTGGTGAGTGGATATGTAACTTGAGGAGTAATTTTTTGTAGTGACTTAGTGACATAATGGTGTTAGTGGAAGAGAAGTTTAAAGTTAGTGGCCTAGTGATTAGCTTTACTTTGTTTCTATAAATACTTGTAACAATTTCTTATTTTATGAATCAAATCATTCCTCCGTAAACATTCTATCTTGCTTCCTTTCTATTATTCATCTTCATTTTTCGTTACATCGTATCAGAGAGTCCAGGTTCATTTTCTTGTGTTTGAGTTTAGCGCTTGGTGTTTGAATGTAGTACTTGGTGAAGATGAAAGGTGGAAGAAATATTTGAATAGACAAGCTTACTAGTGACAACTATAGCTATTGGAGGCTATGTATGGAAGCTTTTCTAGAAGGGCAAGATTGGTGGAATCTTGTATCTGGTGATGATGCTAAAATTCTAGAAGATACTTAGGAGAATGCCGAGTTACGAAGGAAGTGGAAGATCAAGTGCGACAAAGCTTTATTTGCTTTGTGAACTTCTATTGGCAAGAAGTATATCGAGCATGCTCATGATGTGAAGCCTCCAAAACAAGTATGGGATACACTTGAAAGGTTGTTCACTCAAAAGAATACGACGAGGTTGCAGTATTTGAAGAATGAACTTGCTGGAACAACTCAAGGTAATTTTTCGGTTTCAGAATATTTTCTAAAAATTAAAACTTTGTGTTATGAAATTTGAGAACTAGACGACGGGCTCATTAGTGATGCTTGTTTACGTCGTTATCTTTTTCATGGACTGCATGTCATTTATTTCTTCGATACAAGGCTGGGTAAATCAACCTTCTATCATTGAGTTGGAAAACCTGCTCTAAAATCAGGAAACCTTGATGAAACAAATGCATGGCAACAACAAGCAAGCTGCACAGGTGGAAAATGTTCTTTATGCAAAAGACAAAGGAAAGTACAATTCTTATTCCAGGCATTCTTTAGATGACAACAAGTATTCCAAGACTGAAGCGCAGTCCAAAGGTAATACAAAAAGATATTTTAAGTGCTGCAAGTCAGGACACATCAAACGTGATTGTAGGACAAATGTGGTGTGTCATCATTATGGGACACAATGTCATATTAGACCAAATTGTTGGGTGAATCTCAAAGAAGTAGATGCAAATGTTGTACAGGAGAGTAACAAACCTGAATAATAACCTACTTGGGATTAATGTTTGTCGATTGAAGGTCTTGATCAACCTATTAATATGCATGCTAATGTTTTTATAGATTATAATGAGGATTTGATTATTGACTCCAGTTGTTCTCATCTTGCCACTAGAAATGTTTCTCTTTTTTTTTAGGTACGTGCACATCATGGAAGAAAGGTCATTGCGATGGCTAATGGTTCATTACATCCTATTGTTGAAGAAGGACATGTTAATGTTGAGAATGTTACTCCAAATGTTGGTGGTGTTTCTCTTAAAGATGTTTATCATGTTCCAGGTTTGAAGAAGAATCTGGTTTCAGTCTTTAAAATTACCGACTCTAGGAGTTATGTTCTTTTTTGTCAAAGTGATGTGAAAACTGTTTATAATATTAAGTAATTTTCACCTGATATTTTGTTAACTGGAAAGAGGAAAGATTCCCTATATGTTCTGTCTGTAAGTGATGTATATGTTGAAAAGACAGGCCAGAATATAGTGTAGAACTTTGGCACGCTCGATTAGGCCATGTTGGTTATCAGCAGTTACGATGAATTTCTACAAAGAAGCTTTTGGGCGGTATTCCTCTACTTAAAGAAATTCACCTTGACGTGGTTTGTCCTGATTGTCAATTTGGAAAATCACATCGTCTTCGTTTCCCAAATTCAGACAATAGAGCTACTGTTACATTGCATTTAGTTCATTTAGACTTGATGGGGCCAACTAGAACACCGAGTTATTCTGGTTGTTGTTATGTTATGGTTATTGTGGACGATTTTTCTTGGTTGGGTGTATTTCTTGGAGGCTAAAAGTG